CCCAGCTATCTTTCCTGCTGCCTTTACTCAGTCTCCCATCCCTCGTTCTCTCTCGCAGCAAGCCATATTAGGCAGTTGCTTTCAGTCCGTACTGCACTCCTGAAACGGTGCTCGCGCATGCGCAATATCTCCCGAGAATATTAATCTTTTGCAAAATTTATGCATTTAAAATAGAGAGCAGATATTCTAGCATAGATTTATATGATAAAATTCCATCAGTAGACCTCGGTTAACAAATAGGACGAAGACCTTGAATGTAAGGTACCCGCTGCATATTCAAGCCAGGTCATAATCTGCCTACGTTAGTGTGTTAGCGCATGCGCAATATCTCACTAGAAGAGTTATATTTTGTGATGATTATGAATTTTACTTGGTTATGGGGTATCTCAGCATCGATTTCTGTAATTAATTGTTATCAGTAGACATGTGTTCATAATTGGGAGATCGCCCAACCCAATAGGGTGCAAAATCCCTACTTCGTCCGCTCCCGCCCGTCCCCTTGCCTCCATTGTCTTTCGCTCAGCCTCCTTCTTTTTCTCCCGCCCCAGCTATCTTGCCTGCTGCCTTTCCTCAGTCTCCCAACACTCACTCCCTCTTGCAGCAAGCAATATTATGTAGTTGCTTTCAGACCGTACTGCACTCCTGAAACGGTGATCGCGCATGCGCGATATCTCCCGCGAATATAAATCCTTTGCGAAATTTATGCATTTGAAATAGAGAGGAGGTATTCTAGCATAGATTTATTTGAGAAAATTCCATCAGTAAACCTCAGTTAAGAAATAGGACAAAGACAGTGCATGTAAGGTACCCGCTCATATACAAGCCAGTGCATAATCTGCATGGCTACGTTAGTGTGTTAGCGCATGTGCAATATCTCACTAGAAGAGTTATAATTTCTGATGACTATGAATTTAATATGGTTATGGGGTATCTCAGCATCGATTTCTGTAATTAACTTTAACTGTTAATCTCCCGAGAATACTAATATTTTGCCAAAATTTTGCATTTAAAATAGAGAGGAGGTGTTCTAGCATAGATTTATGTGATACCCGCTGCATACACAAGCCAGTGCATTATCTGGCTACGTTTGTGTGTTAGCGCATGCGCAATATCTCACTAGAAGAGTTATAATTTCTGATAAATATGAATTTAATATGGTTATGGGGTATCTCAGCATCGATTTCTGTAATTAATTGTTATCAGTAGACATGTGTTCATAATTGTGAGAGCGTCCTAGCCTGTAGGGTGCAAAATCCCTACTTCGTCCGCTCCCGCCCGTCCCCTTGCCTACATTGTCTTTCGCACAGCCTCCTTTTTTTCCCGCCCCAGCTATCTTCCCTGCTGCCTTTACTCAGTCTCACAACCTCACTCCCTCTCGCAGCAAGCTATATTATGCAGTTGCTTTCAGACCGTACTGCACTTCTGAAACGGTGCTCGCGCATGCGCGATATCTCCCGAGAATATTAATATTTTGCGAAGTTTTTGCATTTAAAATAGAGAGGAGGTATTCTAGCATAGATTTATATGATAAAATTTCGTCAGTCAACCTCAGTTAAGAAATATGACGAAGACCTTGCATGTAAGGTACCCGCTGCATATTCAAGCCAGGGCATAATCTGGCTACGTTAGTGTGTTAGCGCATGCGCAATATTTCACTAAAAGAGTTATATTTTGTGATGATTCCGCTCCCGCCCGTCCCCTTGCCTCCATTGTCTTTCGCTCAGCCTCCTTCTATTTCTCCCGCCCCAGCTATCTTCCCTGCTGCCTTTCCTCAGTCTCCCAACACTCACTCCCTCTCTCAGCAAGCTATATTATGCAGTTGTCTTCAATCCGTACTGCACGCCTGAAACGGTGCTCGCGCATGCGCAATATCTCCCGAGAATTGTATTATTTTGCGAAAATTATGCATTTAAAATAAAGAGGAGGTATTCTAGCATAGATTTATATGATAAAATTTTATCAGCCAGCCTTAGTTAAGAAATAGGACGAAGACCTTGCATGTAAGGTACCCGCTGCATATACTGCATAAAGTGCATAATCTGGCTACGTTAGTGTGTCAGCGCATGCGCAATATCTCACTAGAAATAGTTATATTTTCTGATGACTATGAATTTAATATGGTTATGCGGTATCTCAGCATCGATTTCTGTAATTAATTGTTATCAGTAGACCTGTGTTCATAATTGGGAGAGCGCCCTAGCCTGCAGGGTGCAAAATCCCTACTTCGTCCACTCCCGCCCGTCCCCTTGCCTCCATTGTCTTTCGCTCAGCCTCCTTCTATTTCTCCCGCCCCAGCTATCTTCCCTGCTGCATTTCCTCAGTCTTCCAACACTCACCCCCTCTCTCAGCAAGCTATATTATGCAGTTGTCTTCAGTCCGTATTGCACGCTTGAAACGGTGCTCGCGCATGCGCAATATCTCCCGAGAATATTAATATTTTGCGAAGTTTTTGCATTTAAAAGATAGAGGAGGTATTCTAGCATAGATTTCTATGATAAAA